AAGCCAAGCCAGAACATGTGTATGGAAAAACCCTGTAAGACAAAAGGTCTGACCTGTGCTCCAGCTTCACTCTTCCTTTTGCACTCACTCTGGAGAGGAACTCCCGTGTGGTGGGATCATGATGCCAGGCCTATGTCTGATAAATTTTCCAGAGCGTGACCACATGCCGTCCACGCCTTACTCATATCTGAACTTAGGCCCAATCCCAATACCCCCCATGTCCACTACCCCTTAGCCCTTGGCCCTACCCTTAGCCCTGCCAACTACCCCATGGCCCTCAAAATGAAGCAACGAGGGGTAGGGGTAGGGGTAGAAATCTTTCCCTAGGAATTGGGACACCACTCACTACATCACCACGTCGGTTACGTTCACGCATACGTAACTATTTTAAATAGGAAGCTGCGAGCCATCTATATTTCCAACCCGCATCTACAATGGAGTCTCATTCATCCTACCGATCGCATTTGCCACATTCATAATGCTTCGTTTGATAAATGACAGACAACAGAGGACTTCTGCTAGCTAGTTAACCAGCTAACATTACGAGGCAGCATAGTTATACTAGCTGGCGTGTTATCGTAATGTGAAAAGTCCGACAATTTTGCAGAACAGGACAGATGACGGACGCCAGATAGTGCGAGCTAGCTAAAAAGCAACCTGGCGACGGTAACGTTAGCTATGTATGAACTTTTTTCCCCGTCTCTTGCTCGGTGGTAGCCATGGCGACGTCTACCCCTCTCTGGCAAGTCAGTATCTGAACTCTTTCGCTACGAAGAGTTAGTTTCATACCCACTACCCCTCGTTATGAAGCTGAGTGAAGTGGAGACTGTGGAGGAAACACCGGGACCGTCTGAATGTAATAGTCCGTGGAGGTGCTGCGGTGCTCGGCTGCACAGATAGGTAACGCTTCAGCTGTCAGGATGTACCGCTCTGTCACTCCACTCTCTCTCACGCAGGCGCAGAACGTACGTGCCACTTGGCCGTCGGATGTAGTCCGTGTAGTGTGTCCAAACCAACTGACACAGGGCAACCTGAGGCGATGTAGACGACGCAACAGTTGGCTTTTGTTGCCGCTAGTTCTTTGATGTCGGTTTGGTGTGTCCGCACCTTTAGTGTGAGCAAGATCCAGTCTCGGAGCGTACTTGACAGTTAATGCATCTTGGCATCATCAGATGACAAAAGTTGCATTGAAAAGTATAACCACGGCCAGAATGCCTGTGAGAAAGGGCTTTTGGACTTTACACCAATGATCAGGGTCAGGGAAGGGTTACCTGACCAGTGTTCAACCCATCTTTTGTCAGTGCAAATCAAGCAGGCCAGCATGTGTTAATCCTTGGTCATGATAGTTTTGATACGACTTGGGTCACAATCCGAGAGAAATGCATACCAATAACCTCATGTGCTGAAAATGGGCAAAGGGATTTGGACATATATTCTGAACTAGTGTTTTGTACTTGAATTCCTATACTGTACATTAGTACATCACAGTAATAAACCCAGCTAATTTAACAGATTTGGCCTGTAATATTAAGATTACTTCAGGTTTACTGCTTTTTCAGCGCCTTTAATTTATTTGTGACCTGTGTCTGTGTACAGTGAAGGCCTCTCTCAATCAGCAGTGTCATTATGTCTGCATACATTAGGTTGTCCCTCACCATCCTGGCCAACTCCAATTTAATTTCTACCTCACCTCGGTCGGCCAAGAGCTCCCGCATCTCGAAGTCTTGCCACATCTCCATGTTGTTCAAACCGTAGAAGTAGCTGACACCATTCCTGCTGTCATTGCTCCATTTGTTTATGAGCTGCATTAACCTGCAACAATTGCGCCACCACTGTGCGCCTTCAATTGCCACCATTGGTATAAATTGTCCTTCCATGGTTGTTAGCAACTTAGGTGGTGTGCCATTCACAATAAAATCAAGTCTTGTGTAACCCACTTCTTGACCTGGGTCACAAAGCCCATTCAGACACATAGTCAGTGCTGGTTCAGCCCTGGTTGAGCACTTAATGTTAAAGGGGTACTAGATGACCTTTATCCTTATTCACCTGTAAGGTTAGTTGTAATAGTAGTAGTTGTAGTAGCCCCAGTGCTTCTGTTCTCCCACTTTTGTGTACTGTGACACCCCTAGTTAACAATTTACGAGTGTGTATGGAAACTGACAAAAGGGTGCATTTTAATAATAATAATATTGTGGCATCAAAAGGCGTGTTGTAAGTTTTGGAAGCACCTAAATTATGTGCTGATCCACCTAAATGAAAAAGTTAAGTGCACCCATGTAAAAAGTCAGTCTGGAGCTCTGCCTTGTAGCTGCTGTAAAGGCCCCAGGTACAGTGGGAATGTTTCATTGATTTGTTGCGAAAGTATGGATGGTCTAATTATTAATTATGGGTGAATCTGTTGCCAAATTAGCAAGCATTGGCTTGTGTGGTGAAAGAGTCTGCCAATACTTGAAACTTTGGCAGATGGTTTGGTGTGCAGGTACCTGCTTCCTCCCTTAGGGCTTACAGAGTGTGGCCTCCCTTTTGTTTCTCTGCTGTCGCTAGTAATGGCAGTAATATAAATTTGATGAAAAGATAAATTCCTGTAAGGTAGACTGACTCACCAGATGTGGACAGTGGTTATTAGCCTGCTACTGGCTGGCATTCTCCCCCCTTCCCACTTCTTACTGTTTCCAAATTCCTTTTGCTGTGGAAGACAACAGCAGGAACCTCTGAGCAAGTAACCTACACACTGAAAATGGCAAGTTCTGACAAAGATTTGGAACATGCAGTAAAGCATGCCTGCTTTGTTTTTTTGGTGAATTGTTGTAAAGGGCTAGTCTGGAAATCCAGACCCAAATCTAGAAAGATTTAGGGTCTGGCTATGAGTAATGCAAATGGCCCAACTCGAGGGGCGGCACCAAGCATGCATTTGAAAATATCACTGCACGCAATTGGATAACACTACGACCAATCAGAACAATACACGGGGTGACATATCCAGAGCGCTACCAGTGGGGCTAACTGGTAGATTAGACTCTTGTTGTATCCGGTCGGCAAAACAGCAAAAACATCCTTCTTGCAAAAGAAAGATTGGAGCGCCATCTTCTGTTCCTCTTTTAGGGAAAAAGCCAAGTCTAACTCGTTCATTGTAGCGGCCAAAGCTGTTTCAAATAACTGGTGTTCATCCGTAGCCATCTTGCAATGTTTACTGACTGATTCCGGACTTCGTCGTCGCAGCGCTGTCGTCATCTGTTTAGCTCGCCTCTGGCCCGCCTATATCAGTTACACCTATGTGATTGGTGCAGCTCAGCTCCAAGGGCATGGGTAATGAGCATCATTACTGATTGCCAGAGTGACTCGCTGAGCAAATTCAAATTGTGCTCCAGCGAGAACTCTGGATTTCCAGGGTAGTAAAGGGCTACAACAAATAAAACAATGTGTGAATGCTCCTCGGAAAGGCTCAGACTCTGTCTTGCAAAAGTTGAATCACACAGTTGACAAATGTCTGTTACTGTTTTTTATGGTGTCGTCTTTTGCATGGCCACTTCAATGACAGTGTTTGCCTCCCTATGTGCAAATATTTCACCAAAACAAGTTACCCCCAGACACTATATTCAAGAGGGTTTAGCACCACCCAAGATGATTGTCATTTGTTTAATGAAAGAAAAACAAGCCAGAGCATTTATCCCACTATAGCAGAATGATAATATCATGGTCCTCCAGCCCTTTCTCTAGCACTGAGTTTTTGGACATATTTCTGTCTAGACAAAACTATCTGCAAGGGGATTTGGGGATAGAGGTTGGCCCACTCATAGAAACTCCTAATTATCTTCTTGGTGTTGTTGTAGTTCTATCATTATTGTGGCTTAGGTTTGAAGATTTTGGATTGTTGTCCTGCTCGAGCAGGATTTTCCTGGTCAGTGTTGATCAGATCCCATGCTGCTGGATCCTCAGCTTGACAAAGTTATGTTTTGAAGTTTGAGTTCCGCCAGCAGCTTGTCATCCAGCTACTTTACGGGAGTTGCAGATCCTGAAAGTTGTACAGTGTTAACATTTAACCCTTTGTTGTTTGGCCCAGTGTGAAGAGAAAATCAAAGCACTTCTTTTAGATCAGCTAAATAGGATGATGTAGTGAGGACTCGGAGTAAAGGCAAGGATGGATGGTGAGTATCAGGTCTATTTATCTAACATCTCCAACAACTAGCAAAATACCATCAAATACCATCAAATATTGTGAAACCAATATGATTTTTTTAAAAAAAAGGTGATAAGAAAATTTTGTCGTACCACCCAGCCCTACCAACAACTTCATTTATTAAAAACATGCACCTAGCAATGTACGTGATGCTGGTGAGAAAGCATCCCCCCTCTAAATTACCTTTTGAAAAGACCAGTGTTAAAAAGGTTAGGTAAATAATTGCAAGCTCCTCCCATGTACTGTATTCAGAATACAAACTGCTCCCATCAGGTATATGCTATAGAGTTTGTCAAACTGACGTCATTGTAATGTTAGCCCTATGAGGGTCTACTGAGTAGCCCCTCAGATTTTTCGGGGATTTTTTTTAACCATGACCCATGGGCTGGCTTGTTGCTGTTGTTACTTTTTGTAGGTCAGTGGCCCACTCGGAATATCTGGCTGTCTGTGATGAAGAGGGTAATTTTTGTAGCAGGACAAGAACTTTTCCTGAGCATTATTCCAGGATTGACAGTTTCATATCATTCATGTTCATTCTCAGGTTAGTGTGTGGGTAGATTGTCAAGATATACAATCCAAGCAAGCATGGGTAGATGTGTGGCACACTGAGAGCAGTCTTGCCCATTTCACAGGCACAAGCCTTGATTTCTGCCACAGGCACAGGCCTTGATTTCTGTTACAGGCACAAGCTTTTATTTGTCACAGGTACAAGTGTTGATTTCTGTCTTCTCTCGAGCAATAGCCATGAAATGATTTTTTTATCTTGCAAAAACAAAACGCAAAACAAGTGATAATAGTAATTGCCTTTCTTTCCCTTTTACAGGCAGCCAGGATTGATGTCTTTCAAGATTTAGAGGCCAGCAGATATTTAACACCAGGTACAAAAGGTTTTGTAATATTAAGTTTGTGAGTGTGCTCTCAGTTTGTCTTTAGAAAATGCTTGTTTGAAAGGAAATTGCTATCTAAAAGGTTCAGTAGTCCATGAGACAGTTGATCTCAGAAAAAATCATGTTCCCCTGGCTATTCCTGGTGCTCTTGCTGGCATTTGCAAGAATCCACCACACTTTAACAAAAATAACTTACCAGAGCCGGGAGGAGTCTCAAAGGCATGTTAGTCAGTCATTCTTGGTGCACACACTTCACTGCCAACGACAGTGTACACAGCTAAATCAAGTAAACAAGAAGACCTGTAAAGGTGAAAGCAAACTTTTCTTCATCTGTCGGCTTTAGTAAAAGTGAAAGCTTGCTTTTTGTCATTGGCCTTCTTCTGTTTTTCTTTGCCATGTACGCTGTGGCTGGCAAAACAGGGATTGGCAGTTTTTTGTTAATGGTGGTTGTTTCTCAGGAACTGTGTTTGCAGAGCTTCTCCTGAAGATATTGAGCTTGACTGAGAGGATGCGCAGGGGAGGAGGATTGTGCAGCCTGTGCACAAGTAGTGATTGACACTGCATTTGAGATTCTTCTTGTTGACACAATGTTGGAGACTTCTCTTGGGTCTTATTAGTTGTTTTTGTTATGACATGGTGCATTCTTGCAAATGCCATTAGGAGCACTAGGAGGAGCCTGAGAAACATGATTTTTTTTTAGAGATCTGTCTTGTGTTCTACTGTCAGGATTCACGTTCAGCAAATGTGTGAAAACCTATTTTTTAAAAGTTACCTGCTGAACTGAAGGACTCCATTCCATTAGATTAATATCTGAAATGCATGATTGTCATTACTTTTGCTTTAAGTACTCCTGAAAAGTTTTGTGAAATCTCTTGCAAAGGTTTAATGAAGCAGCTCTCTGAAATAAAGAGCAGCATCTGCATCCAAGAGAAAAAGCCAGATAAACAAGGAATAAGTGAATTCAGTGTGTACACCCACAGAAGCAAACTAAAGGCATAGCGTATATTAAAATTTCTGTTGAAAAGTTCACATTATTTCTGCGCATAATCATCAGCCCAAAGTGTTAGTTAGCCTAATCAGGTGGGTATTTTCAAGAGTTAGCTTAGTGGGTTTTTTTTAGTATGAAATATCTATGTGTTTCCTTGGACTATACCCAGCTCTACCTTTGCCAAATCAAGTGGCCGTTTTCCAAACTCGTACTACTTTAGTCTGCCAGAGAGAGAAAACGGGAGATGGGCACAACTCTCCAGAGTCCTCCAGCACTGTCCCATCCACAGAGGACTGTGGAGGCACCCCCACTGTTCCATCAGTCTCATCCCATGAATGTAGACTGATTCACTGTCTGAAAACAACCTGGGCTAACCCCTGCCGCCTTTCTGAGTTCAGAATCTCTTTGAGGCCTACAAAAGTTCTTGGGTTACAGATGTGACAGCCACTGATGTCCTTCTGGCCACAACTTCAAGAATCCATATCCACATTGTAGGCTCTGAACATGGCCTACTTTTATGAGATGTCCCCAACCTCCCTTGGGATATGGAAAATGTCAGGTTTTTCCAGCTTAACCTCTACAACACCTTTGGGTTTGCCAGGTCTGTCCATTAGTCCTGGATCTCCTGGATCCCACCCCGACACTCCAAGAACCCCACGTATAAGTGCCTGTTTGGTTCATGGACAAAGACAGTCAAAGCCTGCTTCCCTCTGACATGCAATCACAAAAATCAACCCCTGTCATTTTTCAGGGAAAAGTTATACAGCCAAACTCAACCAGAGCTTGTAAAGATCCCTACATCTGTCCAGCTCACCCTGGGCAACCCTGAAAAAACAGCTGCAACAGTAGAGCTGCAACAAACAGTTACTTTCGTTATATATTTAAATCTATTGATTTTAACATTTGCTGTCAAAAAAGAGGTAAAAAGCCATAAAATGTAGTAAAGGGGATCTCTTCAGATTGTTTGTTTTGTCCAAACAACAGTTCAAACCCTGTGCCATGCAGCAAATCCTTACTTTTGACAAGCTGGCACAAGAAAATATTTGGTATGTTGGATGATAAATTACTCAAGCAACCATTTTTTTCAGCTGCTATCAAGCACTGTATGGAGGTGAGCGAACCAATATCTAGTTGGTATTGCACCACCTTTTGCACGAGCCCAGGCTTCTTCCTTTGCTTGTCATGCATCAAAAGTGAATTCCCATAGCTATGTGTCACCAATGTGCCTATGAGGCAAGAGTAGCAGTATACTGTTGCTCCCTTGCATCCTTCTTTTTTGGTAGTGATCCCACATGGTAGCGACCCTATGTTGTTTTTTTGTCAAGGCTTAGCCTGACCAGATACCCATGGCTTAGCCTGACCAGATCCCCTGGAGGCAAACTCTTATAGGACTGAATTTTGATAGCATTTGTGGATTATGTTTTTTAGTGGCTTGTGAAATGTTCACAGTAATAATATTCATTTATATCCTCCAGGTTCCCACACAGATGTAATCCACATCATCCTGGATAGTCCTAGTCCTTGTGTGACCAAGAAAAGGTCAGAATTTTTTTTCCAAAAATTGGATCATTTTTCTTATGATAATAGTTGCAGTTTCTTTTTGTAATCCTATGCTCCTTTGTGTTTTCAGGATTGGACAAAATAAGCCCCAGCTTCCAGTCCTTGCAAAGAATGGCTCAGGGGTGGGATTCATACTACCATGATCTTCCACCTCTATCATCAGATCCAAGCACTTTGAGAAGGACATCAGAGCCAGAGGGAAGTCTTTCCCAGCATATAGAGAACTACATTGGAAATCATGACTTTCCTGGCGCAGTGGCTTCACATGAAGCCTCTGCAACAAACTCAAACTTCAATACAAACTATTACTCAAATCCCAGTATTGAAAATTCCAGTTCAGACTGTCTTTATCAAAGATACTGCAAGGAAACATGGCAAGCTGATGGAGAACAAATGGAAAAAGATTACTTGCAAAGATGTGGAAATAGTGACATTTCAGATTTTGCCACAGATGGATTACCAACATCGGGATCTTTTCCTTCATCTTTTGCAAATGATTTACATGATCTAAAGCAAGACTGTGGAATGCTAGCTACATCATTTCTTGACGATTACTCAGATGTCAGTAGCTGCTCGGAAGCAGATGTGGGTGAAACGAGGCCCTCTTGTAAATTCATGGCAAATAATTCAGTTCCAAAACCTAAAACTGATTATGTTACAAAACATAGCTCATCAGAATGGCTTTTCACTGATACTGGGAATGTGATGCTTCCAACTGAGAGTCTGTGTCCTAATAAATCAGAGACTACTGTAATTTTGCCAACTACATCAAATGCGTCAGCAGGAGAAAACATAGTTGAATGTGCACAAGACAAGGAGGAAAGTTCAGAAAAAGCTGTCACATCCTGTGCAGGACAAGAACAGTCCTTTAGTACTTCTAACATGGTGACAACGACAGTGAGTGAGACTGTTGGGGATGGACGTGAATATGGTAATTGTCCAGAAAGAAGAGGAAAGGAGCATATGAAGATTAATCTCACTCAAGAAAAAAATCCAAGCATCTCAACAAGTGGCCATGAAAACTTGGCTGGTGATGGAATTGAGGAGTACCCAGATGGCGGTGAGGAGGAGCAGGTTGCTGCAGCTGCTCCAAATATGACAACAATGAACAATGAGCATGGTCTCCCAGATGACCTAAGAAAGGAAATGAAAGAATCATTCAACCAAGAAAATGAGGGATTTGATAATCCCAACTCCAGAGATAGTCAAGATAGAAATAGTAAAGAGGACATGCAGGACAAAAGTGAAGACCTAAAAAAGGAAAGAAAACAATCAGGTTCATCTGAAAAAGAGACATTTGATGATAAGAAGTCTCCAAATCCCAATTTCGGTATTGGCCAAGATGAAAATCCGGAAACTGACTGCCGGGACAATGAAATTCAGTCAGATACCTGCCAGTCTTCAAATCTCCCTGGTATAAAGGTGTCCAATTCTAAAGCTGTCACTCATGAACTGAGGGAATTCACAAGTACCTCGAAGAGTATCAGTCAGGATCAGAAATCATGCTTGCGGTTATCTGAGCACCAGTCCCATGAAAGTGTAGCTCAGGATATTTGTCAGAGTACTGCTGTAATGAGTGATGGTGATTTCAGCAATGCCAATGACAAGAATGAGCAAAGTGTTGCAAGTCTTTCAGAAACCTGCTTACAGCCAAAGAGCTCCAGCACATACATGAGTGCCTGTCCAGAAAAAGAATGGACAAGTGCAGCAGAGAAGCCAGATACCACATATTCTTCAGATCCAGATTGCAGTGATGATCCTGTTGTCACTAAAGGTAGTCCTCCTTTTGATACTAGTGACAAGGATGAGCAAGGCTTTGCTAGTCAAGTAGAGTCCTGCTTACTGCCAAACAGCTCAAGCATAGACCTGAATTCCTGTCTAGAAAAGGAAATGACAAGTCAACTAGAGAGGAAAACCCCAACCTCTCCTACAGAAACTGTTTGTACTGACCCTCCTGTGACTAGTATTATGGATGATTTAGAGTCCTGTTCACAGTTTAACACATCAAGCACAGACATAAACCCCTGTCTAGAAAAGGAATGGACAAGTTCCACAGAGAATACAAATGCAACCTCTTCTTCAGATCAGCAACAGCCACTACACCAATGTCCAGTGGCCCTACAACCAGGAGGTTTTCATGGAGATGTTGCTGAAGATACAAGAGAGTCGTTAGAAAAGTTGGACACATCAGCAGAGGAGCCGTCAGTGCTTTGCGAGCTGTATGGGGAACCTCTGTCAAGAGAAGATTCTTCATGTGATGCTGATGAAATAAACCTTGATACAAGTCACTATCAAGACACTTCTGTGGCCAGACCTGACAGTAACACCATGAACTATTCAGGGCAAACACCTCAACTCATATCCTCTCTACAAATGAGGAAATGTCTGCAGCCTGTCGTAATAATGAAGACCTTAGAGTTAGTAGATGGAATGAGTAACTCTTATCATTGCGCAGATTGCCAATACACAACCCACAATGTAGATCATCTAATAGAACACCACCATTGTTTCCATTCCGTGCACAGTTTCCAGTTTTGCAAGACTTGTAACCTCTACCTGCTAAGTGATGAACAAGCAGAAAAACATGTGTGTTGTGTAACCAAAGTAAGCCCTCAGCTCTCTTCAGATTCCAGCAAACCGAAGATCAGAAAACGTCGCGGGGGCCACAGGTGCATGAAGTGCAGACTCATATTTTCAAAAATACTTCACTATATCAAGCATATGAGGACTCACACTGGCAAAACACCTTTTAAGTGTAATGGGTGTGGGTTATATTTTGCACAGGCTGGTACCCTGCAAAGACACATGCGTACACCTGGTAGATGCAAGCAGCCAAAACTTCCAGTCACAGATTCTGATGCCATTATCAAAGAAACCGAAACACCACCACAAGAGGACGTGGCACAGAACCAAACATATCTAAATCTGCCCGAATGTTACATTAAGCTAGATGACATCTCCAGAACCCATCTGTGTCGTTTTTGTGGTAAATGCTTCCTAACTGCAGCCAAGGCCAAAAAGCACTACTACAACATACACAAGGGAAAGAGTTTGGCAGTTTCAGTGCAGCAGTGTCAGTCGACCACAAAACTCAGTAGTGAGCACCCCAAAAAACTGGACAATGAAACAACAGGGAAATATAAATGTCCCCTTTGTCCACGCCTTTTCAAATATTCCTACAACAGGGCTCGACATTTACGTGACTGTGTCAGAAATTCAGTGTGTGGTGGCAAGGAAAAAGTTTCCGGTAAATATCGGTGTCCCTTGTGCCACGTGACCTTCACTTTATCATCTAACCGATATAGACATATTAAGACATTTTGCCTTAGAGAATGTCTGAATCGGCTCGCAAAGGAGAGGGCAAAATCAAAGGAACAGGCTGAACAGAAAAAAACTAAGGAAATTGAGCCGAAATTGCAGTCGAAGAAAAATGAACAGAAAAAACAAGCACCCCCAGCTTTGACAGCCCCCGGCGTTGTACCACGCTACAGATGCAATCTTTGTCCAGCAGTTTTTTGTCATGCATCTGGAAAATACAGACATATGAAGAAGCATGAGCTGTTTAAACTCACTGGCAAAATGTTCAAGTACAGGAATTCAGTCTTCTCTACCTTGTCTAAACCCACAACTTTAAGTAGTACAAAGACTGAAGAGAATAAGGATACCCCAGAATCCACTGAAGCAAATGCCAGTCCTGCCTTGAGCTGCCGTTTTTGTGACAGTCGTTTCGCCACACCACAGTCACTGATGAAACATGTGCGTAGTCACCGAGGTGAAAGACCATACCGCTGTGTGGAATGTGGAAAAGGTTTCAAGAAACGTGCCTATCTAATTGGTCATAAAAGCATTCACCAGAGGAGGATACAGTGTACTGTCTGCAGAAAGATTCTTCCAACTATTGGAGAACTGATTCAGCACAGAAGTTCACATCTGAAAAGGGGAATGCTTCAGTGCCCAGACTGTCATCTTCAGTTCCAGTATCCTGCACATCTCCTGAGGCATCTACCCACCCACAAACCCAAAGAAAACAAGGCAAGTAAGCCTGAAGAGAGACCACCATTAAAACCACAGCAGTCCTTGGAATCCATGAAAGAGCAGAGTGAACCAAATCAGCTTCAGTGTTCCTTATGCAAAGAGGTATTTAATGATGCCCATGTGCTAAGAAAACATTGTCTTGCGCATATAACTGGGTCTTCAACAAACCAATGTCCATTTTGCAAACGTGATTTTAATAATCGCCGCTATTTGCTGCGCCACATGCTCATACACACTGGAGACAAACCCTTCTCCTGCACAAACTGTGGAAAACAGTTTTATCGTGACTTGTATCTTAAACTTCACAGTGAGAAGTGTGTGCCTGCTCAAACCATTCAACAACAACTGGTCACAACTGAGTCCAACACTAAGCCAAAGGGGCCACATCGGTGTACCTACTGTCCAAGGAGGTTTTTTAAGAGAATGCGCCTCAAAAATCATCTCAGTGGCCACAAGGCAAACACTCTGCTTCTATGCTCAAAATGTGGGCAGTACTTTGGATTTCAGAAATTTAAACAACATCAGAGCAACTGCGGAGAGACTACACAACTCAACACTGGCTTATCATCTCCAAACGGCGATGACTGTAAAAGCACTTCACAGACAAGCCAGGTCTCTGTAATGCCTTTAAAGTCCAATGCATCCAAGATACTTCCCTTGAAATGCTCTCACTGTACACAGAGGTTCAGGTACAGATCATTACTCTTGAGACATCTGGTTTCACATACTGGTGTGCAACCCTATGCATGTATGCACTGTGGACACCGTTATGGAAGTCAGACAATGTGTTTGCAGCATGAAGCTTTCTGTGATGGTGTTTACAAAGAGGGGCAGTCAAAGGTCAAAGGTGATACTGCACCTCAATTGTCAAAGACGCCTACTCTCAGAGAGGCAGCACAAAAGCCCCAAGCAGAAGGTGCAGCTGAGTATAAATGCAAGTTCTGCACGAAGACTTTCATGAAATCACGAAGCCTGAGACGTCACATTTTGACACATAACGAAGTAAAGCCTTATCGCTGTAAAGCATGTGACAGCTGCTTTTCAAGGTATGATCATCTGAAAGTGCATCAGGCTCGCTGTAAAGGCAAAAAAACACGACTGGAAATCCGTATTCCCAAAATCAGTTTAGAGGATGTTGGCAGGGGTTGGCAAAATAAGTTTGGCATTGAGCCTGCTGAAAAGCAGGAGACGTTTGAGTGTGAAGTCTGTTCAAGGAGCTTTCCATCTCAGTCTAAACTTTCCCGCCATGTCACCTTGTTCCATCTACCAAAATTATTCAAGTGCACAGGCTGTGGCTCGTCATTCTCTCACGAAAAAACTCTAAAAAAACACAGGAAGATGAGAAAGTGCAGAAGGAGCTCCAATGAAACAAAGGCTGCCTTACCACAGAATACTAATCCACCTACAGAAAATGCAGCAAACTCACTTAGAGGGATGAGAAAAAGAATTCTACAGCGTATCCAACCCTACTTCAACAAAAAGCACAAGTATGCATGTAGTTATTGCCCCCGTGCTTTTGGAAACAGCTGGCAATTGAGCGTGCACAACCGCCTACACACAGGAGAGCGGCCATATGCTTGTGACTATTGTGAACAGAGATTTATAAGGAAGGATTATATGCAGCGTCATGCCACAAAGTGCACCAAAAAAACAAGCATTTTGACAGAAAAGGTGACAAAACCCACTGTTCCCGAAAGCCAGCAGTCAGCCTCTAAAAGCCCACCAAAAGGCTTTTCTTGTGCATACTGTAGCTCCCGTTTCTTGCTATTTTCACAGCTTCAGGAGCATTTTCTAAATGCACACCAGCTGGAAACAAAGGCTCCGCCACTGTCCTCTGCTCCCCTACAACAACATCTGTCAAATATACCAAAAATCAAAGAAGAGGTTTTGGATGAGAGCTGTGACAAAAAGCCTAGTGATGTAGGTACTAATTTAACCTGTAAACTCAATACAGCTCTTGAGAGCGAGGTCGCCAAAACATTTTCCTGCCCAGAGTGCAATATGACCTTTACAAATAAAGCTGGACTAACTGGTCATCTGCGTGTACATGCAGCAGGGTTTCCTTTTAACTGTAAAACATGCAAGAAGGGCTTCTGGAATAAAAGTCTTCTCCGTAATCACAACAGGAAATGTAGATTTGGCCACATTTCCGGAAGAAGTTCAACCCAAGAGCTGGAAGTCCCTTTAAAAGCAGAGATTGATCTGGTGCTGAATGACTCTGTTCTGGTGTTCAAAGAAGCCTCCAAGTCAACTGGCACTGGGGTTTTGCAGACCAGCTTTTCCTGCAAAGATGAGGTAATGGATGAATCCCAACAAAATTCAGAGGAAAATGAGGGGCAAAGCAGCTCAATTAAAGAGAAGAAAACTGTGCAGTACCAATGTTCAGAGTGTGATCAGAGCTTCACAGATGGCCTATTGCTTATAAGTCACCTTGAAGCCCATGGAAGAGAGGAACAAGCAAAAAAGCGCAATGCATGTATTAAGTGTGGGAACGTGTTTTCCAGTCCAGGAAATCTTGAAAAACACATGAGGATGCATGGAATTAATAAAAAATACTCTTGCCCTGACTGCTCCAAGGTACTGCCCACCATGTCTGAACTTGAAATCCACAGAACATGTCATGACCCAAATAGGCCTTTTATTTGCAAACTGTGTAAACACAGGTTTTGGACAAGACCATCTCTATGTAATCACTACAGCGAAGCGCATCCAGATGATGTTTTTAGGTGTCAGTTCTGTAACAAGGCCTACGCGAGCAAAAAATCTGTGTCAAGACATTATAAAAAATGGCATCAAAAAGAGCAGAGGGACCTTTTGAAGACTGTACAGGATAAGAGCAGCGCTGAACAACGATCCAGCAGTCAAGTCAGTACAGCTGGTGAAAGCGATGGGGATGAAAATAACGGCAGTGAGGACAGCGACTCAGACTCTGCACCATACTTCCCATGCCATGTGTGTGGTAAGACATTCCCAACATCAGAAAGTCTTGAGGATCATCAGAGGTGTCACCTGGGTGAAAAACCACATGAATGTGCAGAATGTGGAAAATGTTTTTTCCAGGCATCCCAGTTGCAGCAGCACCAACGAATGCACAAGTCTGAATTTCAGTGTCAGGCATGCGGAAGGGGTTTTGTCTCACTCTTTGCTCTGCGCAAACACAAGCATACCCATGGAAAGAGCCGTCCATACCGTTGTTCCAAGTGTGACTTCAGTTTTACAGGACCCACACAGTTGGCAGAACACATGTCTAACCACCGTGAAGAGAACTTCCCATGTGATATTTGCAATCTTGTGTTTCTCTCCAAGACCAGTAGAGCTGAGCATCGGAAAAGCCACTCTAAGTCAGGTGACTTCCCTGCACCAATTTTAAAGGAAGAACGTGAGAAGTCTGCTTCACCTTCTGAGAGTTCATCAGTGTCCCCCAGAGAACTGAAATATCGCTGCGGTGTCTGTGGTGAGCGATTTAAAGACCCAGAGGAGCTCTCAGAGCATGGTTGCAATGCAGTCAAAGAGCGAGCATACTCCTGTTCAGACTGCGATAAACATTTTCTGCATGCATCTCACCTGAAAAAGCACAGGACCACCCATCATCTATCGTGGTCTAATAGTGAATATCCATGCTCTCATTGCAACAGTAGCTTTTCCTCCTCTGAGCGCTTCCTCAGCCATCTGAAGAGCCATGTGGATACTGCCGCAGAAACCAAACGTAACACTGAGGGTAAAGATGGAGGTGTGTCACACAGTTTCATGTGTCCAGTTTGCCACCAGTGTTTTGCCAGTGCCACTGAACTGATTGGTCATTTTCCCACGCATCCTGGTGGTACCTTTGAATGCAAAATTTGTAAAAAGACATTTCCCTCTGGAAGTAAGCTTGAAGAACATGAGCGCAGTCATGTGACATCAGCTGCTGAATTTGAATGCATAGTGTGTGAGTGTGGCCAGAGCTTTTTAGGAAGAGATGCTTTCCGTCAGCACCACTGTTCCCATCAAGAGCAAGCAACAACAGAGGCTGAGTACTCAAACCCATCAGCTAAGACATCCCCTCCAACTTATCAAGCAGGAGAGGAGGAGGAGATTGATGTTACCGGAGAGGACTTGTACTATTGCCCTGTTTGCTCAATGCAGTTCAGCTCAAAAAGTGGTCTTCTGGAGCATCAAAATAAAGAGCACCGAAATGAGAAGCCATTTAAATGCAAGCTTTGTGGAAAAGTGTTTGCCAGGAGGCGCTACCTCAGAGAGCACGAGCGAAGGCATCGTCAAAAAAATACGACTCAGCTGGCTGAAAACAAGTTCAAATGTACCCAGTGCAACGCCGAATTAAACACGGCAAATGATTTGTCTTTGCATATGAGATTGCATGCTGAAAATGAAGTCGGAGAGTTCCGCTGTGATATGTGCTACAAGTCATTCAACCAGTGGTCCCGTCTTAAGCAGCACCAAGAAAGTCATGTCGGCCAAATTGTATATGAATGCACAGAATGTGACAAAGCCTTCGCCTTTCCTCACCTACTGGAGGAACATCAACAGACTCATGCTGAGTCGTCTCAGTAATGGTTGTTGCATCCCATCTACCTTATCTCCCTTTTGAATAACTAGCTAATGTAACTTGAAGTTCCTTTCATGCCTTACATCTGACTGTGTACCTCCCGTTATCACAATTTAGATCCTATTTCTATTTTTGGCCCTTGTTACATATTAACAAAGCTCTTGGCTAATGTCAGAATGACAGGGCATCTCCTCCCGCGTTTCTATTTACATTGTATATATTTTTAGTTCTAATATTGGAATTTGTATACAGTTAATTAGCCAGATAGTTTCTTGACAGTGTTTGTAAATCTCTGACAAAATTGTGTAAAGCTGTTAACATTAAATGTGATGAAAACAGACAATGCATGATGGGATGAGATGTTTATGAAAAGTCTTGGATAAAGGCTGAAATTTTTTATCAAACATTATGATGTTTAGATGTTTGACATCAATTTTCAAACAGTGGTAAGTCAGTTTTGCTGATATGAAAAATAGACTTCAAACTGGTCATTATAATCTTGGTATTTTCTATGACCTCATGTACAATAGATAATTTTGTAATTTTCAGTTTAGCATTTCTCTGTATTTATCATGGGTTGCATTTTTCAAGTTAATAGTTTGCCATTTTCTTGTATATACTTTTTGAAATATGTTCTAATTGAATATTCTTTTCGCAACCCAAGGATGTTACTTTCTTAAGAAATTTAAGTTGATGCATTCAATTAAGGAGTAAAGTCAACTTGAAAATCCATTTGAGGGTCTGTCTTTCTTTGTATTTCTGTGTTCTTTGTGGGAAGCCAACAGAAAGGAAGATGGCCATGAAAAGCCACACTTTATTCCAGCAACACCAAATTGCTGTATTGACACCACAGAACAAACAATGGTCAGCACATGTATTTCAAAAGAGATGCGTAGGAGAGGGACGAATACAATGTAATTTGCAGACCAACTCCCACACCCTGTTTAACTTTTAAAGAGAATTAATGTATCACAACTTTTGGTAACTAGACCTTCATCAGCCAAGTTACCAAATGTTGCAATACACTTTTTTGCAAGGTAGACAGTTGTGCAGTAGTTTGTCAGCATTTGTGACACACAGAGCACCAAATTTATGTACTCAACATGAGGAATGAGGAAACTGTATTGTACAAACAAAACAGTGATAATAGCAAATTCTTTGTGTAATGCTGTAGCCTACATCAGCAGGATGGAATATGGTGCAACTGTAAACAACATTTAAGGAGGAGCTTTAATTGCCAATATGGATTTTTTTTCTTTACTTTTGATATAAAATAAACATAAATTAGAGTATACTACTTGGTAGGTGACAAAATAGTCACCATACATCAGCAGTGTGGCTTAGTTAGTGCTGGTTTGAATCAAGCGGATACCTGCAGCCCTTTTGTGTAGAATTTGTGTATTCTTCCTTTGTCTTTGTGGGTTTCGTCTGATTTCCTCCTGCAATTTAAAGACATCTAGATTAGACAAACTTTAAACTGGTTGTCTATCCCTCAAATTGGTTTTCTGCCTCAATTTTCTTTATTGTATTAAATGCAATGGCATTTTTTCTTATATCTATCTAATTTACTGTATTTGAAAGAAGAGTCAGTGGTGGAAACGACCACAGCCATGTTCTGAGATTGTATGCATGATTCTATGAAAATGAATAAAATGTATCTTATTGGATGTAAATTTAAAGTACCTTGCAAAGATTAAAACTGAGCTTTATGTAAGTAGGATGTCCTAACCATATCTAGCTGTGCTCATTTTAGTTATATATTCTGATTTATGGCCATAGCATAATGAGTTGAAGGACTGCAGGTGCAGAATGCACTGTCTCATTCTGGATGGATGATCCAGACTGAGGCACCGGCTCAGCCCCACAGAGCTGTGTGCCATAGCAGGTTAGTTCCAGGCCATTAGTTGTCATAGTAACATACAGTAATCCTGGGCCATGGCCATTTCTGTGAGCCCTGTTCCTGGACCAAAAAATCTAATTTGGTACTGAATTTTCATGTAAAGGGTCTGGTTAACTGGCTGAGACTTCTTTCTGGAGAACCCCTCACAGGTGTTGCATAACCATAGTAATATGAAATAGTTTGCTGCAGTCACCCTATCATGTACTTTTGCTTATAAACTTGGCATGGAAGGATGTTGAGAGTCAGTATCTCTATCCTGCTACTGAATTTTACAAAGACATTTACTGTTGTTAGCGTACCTTACATTGCCTGAGGCCAGATGTATTTGTTGATTTGAGTAAATTAAGGGAAATCACAAGATCAAAGGCCAACCAGATGTCTTCAGTGCTAATCCATTAGTGCCTGCCACAAATGCACTGGACTACATCAAGAAACAAAAACCTGAGAGCAGCCCTGTGATCTCCCCAAGCAGGAGGAAAACTGTCAGTCCACTTACTGAACAGCTACTGATTGACTGTCAGCTTCTTTGCAAGATGTTCCTTTATGAGGAGAGATTTTATTGGTTGAGGATTGCCCTGTGTGACACACCATTATGTGTGTTTAAGTGTCTAACTCTGAAAATATGGTCCTAAACTTTAAATGTCTCAATACCAGCCAAATCAAACGAGCCCTAAAGATGCTACATACATTGTGGGAGTAGCCTGGGAAAGTAGACAATATGACTGCCATCTCCATATCCAAAATACAATTCATAAACCCGTTCAGCCTGGGTGAGGTGCTGTGAGTCTTGGGGATGTGGCTCAGCCTTCACCAGATCAAGCAAAACAAGTTATGTGGCATACTAGATCCATATTTCAGAGACAGAGCAGGCAGAAATTGCAGAAGTATTTCTTCATCTGAGTTGATTAATTCGAGAGATTGAGGAAGGCAGTGAGGCCATGTGAAGCAGTAGGTGCTCTATCGGCAGAATGAGACACAGTTTGACTTGTAACACTTTTGTAATGTTAGAAATCAACTGTTCCCCATGCTGAGGAGCAACAGTAGCTGGAGACAGTGTGGTTACTGGATGTGACTGGACTGACCATACCTCAGGTTAGAGAAGCAGACCAATGTTATTATAGTACCATGACAATTTGACTTTGGGAATTGCCTGGCCATTCAGTGAATTTGTGCTTTCTGGGAAGAAATTGAACCACATGATTGTTACTGATTACTCCACCAACTCAAAGCCCACATCAAATTCAAATCTCAGGACAGCAGGTCCAGTTAAGTGCTGGGCTGTAGTCACTGTCCCCAGTAAGGCTCTGAGTATGGTGTAGTTCTACTGTAGTTGGCAGCACTGAAGACTGCTGACTGGTCAAACACAAGCCTTGAGACCGCAGCACTATATATAGAAACTGCAGTAGTTCCTCCTTTCCATGGTCGTGGACATACTAAAACATTTCCTCTGTTAATATGTGGACCTACGCTGGGCTTAAGTCTTTAATGCAGAATCTTTCTGCATATATTCTACCTGTCTGTGTCCGACTGCGCTGCCTTTCAAAGCTGATTTGTGAAGGTCATGCTACAGGCTATTAGCAATTATGAAACATGCAGCATATCCCAACTACTTCATTGCTCTCTAATCAGCCAGAAGAGGGCTTTTAGTCAAGGGGTTTCAGGAACAGGTTTAATTCATTCGGTCACATCTCCTCTCCGTTCCTGGAGAGAGGAGTTACACAGTCTCTGTACATTGTTATGTTGTTTTTTCTAACTCAATAAGCATTATAGTTATGCCTGACATGCTGGTATTATGTAATTAATCATAGTTGTGTATATGTCAACAACTTCACCTGGTTCCTCTACATAAAGATTAACAACACTGGAGTCTAGCTCTGGTCTCACCTCACCACCGCAGGGAATTATACAATAACTGCAGAACTGAACCCGCTGCTGAATGACAGTGACTTATCCTCAGTCATGGATTACACTTCAAGATACCCAAACTCCTCCTCTGCTTGGCTGCAGCATATCCATTTTTATCTTAGAAGACCAGCTAAGGAGTGGAGGAGGAGTGACTCCAGGTTTGCCTAGTGACAGTTGGTCTGTGGTAATTTAATGCACTGTAAATTTGTATTGTCACGGTGTGCACCACTAAAGCATATTGTACTCTGAAATTATAGGAGCCTAACCTGAACTGGGGCTCCCATCTTGAGAGTGGCCCTAGTTAAAAGCTAATTTAATCAATTAATTACTAACTAGGGTAAAATCAGGTCATTTGAGACATCAGGTAAAATGAGACAAATGAGGTTTTACATCTTGAGCTCTGTAAATATTAGCCAAACATGTTATTGCATTGCTTCTACTCATGTGCTTTACATGAAACAAGCATTTTTATTGGTCTGAGATGAATAGGATGGCAGGGTAGAGATAAAAAAAAAAATCACTGCTCCCAGAACTTGCAAGGAACGCATGCTGATTTTCTCTTCTTGGCAATAAGAGCACTGTGGCTTAACCAGTAAGGGATACAGTTGTAGAATGTTGCATTTTATTAAATGTTTGCTTTAAAATCAAGATATTTTCACACTATACTTTTTATGTGAAAGTGCGTTGAGTGTTTACTGAAAGCAACCATGTAAAATGGGATTTCTTTTCTGAAGTGAAATTGGCAGTTCTCTATCATATCAAGATACATAGAAGACTATGGGAATTATCCCCATCTGCGGTCATCGATGTGGAAATTAATAATCTTTAAGAGACACCACTTTACGTGGCCGACATGCACCCAACTATAAAAGCCCCACCTTGCGCATGCACCCACTGATTCATTGATTTCTAGTCGATGTGAGAGCAGAAAGAAAAGAGAGAGGAATTTAGCATTTTGTCCACTTAGATTCGTTTAGGTTGGAGAGCTGGCCCTCACGGGTAGTTCTCAAGGATAGCTAAACGCAGTTTCCTTTTCTTGACAATAAGGAGTAAAACAGTTGAGAGGGCTGCCATATCCATGTATTGCAGCTGTCTTTTTACGCACGGTGGAGGCATAGCAGCTCGCTTGAGTCTGACTCAGTCGGGGGGCAGTATGCTGCCCCCCTGTAGGAGGTCGTTCAAATCCAGCAGAGTCGTGGGGCAGTTCGCAATATTCCTTAGGGGTTTAGTTGCTTGCTCAAACTCAATAGAGTCGGGGGGGCAGTTTGCAACGTTCCTCTGGGCTTTAGTTGCCCGCTCTCGATAGAGTTGGGGGTGGCGAGCGGCTTACCACCACAGTTGTAGCTGGTGTAGCTGGTTTTCCAGTTCGCACCTGCAAAGGGCTTCCCATTTCCTCATTAAAACACTGAATCTCACCTCTAGTAGAAGTGTCCCGCTGTTCGGTGTCAAAGAAAACACAGTGACGTCACTCCAAAAAAAAGAAAAAAGAAAAAGAAAAGAAAAATAGAGAGAGACGATGGCAAGCCGGCATGGCCCTTCTTGTGTGGGTTGCAATGTTAAAAAGAAAAAGAAACATGACTACTATGTGTCATGTTTGGGAATAGAGCATGCAGTGCTACTCGTGATAATCCACCTTCATGCATGAACTGCTTCTGCCTGTTGCCATTCATTGGCAGACGTCCACCAGCCCCTTCTCAGGGCCTGCAGCCAGCTAAGCGTTCTAGGTTGGCGGGTCTGGTAGTGGGGGACGGGGGCCCATCAGGGTGCTCCATTGCCTCCATTATTACAGTTTTAGTAGGGGGTGAGCGGACTGTGTCACATAGGAATTTCCCTGCTCCTGGGCCCTCTGCTGGGTTGGATAGGAGCCTCTCCTGCCCTGGGTCAGAGGAGGAGATAGACATTCTTGGCCTTGGGCCCTTAGAGAATG